GCACAAATGAAGTGTTATATATTCCATTCATATTGCGTCTATCTATAAGATTTGACGGAAATAAAAATATCCAATGCTTCAGTTTAAGGTTAAGGGATAAATATGACAGTCATGAAACATGAAACGGAAAAGTATATATTTTTTCACTTTTACTACAAGACAATTTATTCTAAATGCAATGGACACTTATTATGTTAATGGACATTTTATTAATGTTACTTTTTCCACGTTCTTGTTTTATTCGTTTTTATATCTTTCCTTACATTTGTATATTTGTAACAGATAAATTGAGAATAGATGCAGTTTCATAAATACTTTATCAAATCTACATGTGGGAGAATATAACATTTTTCGGACACCCTGTATACACTGCTTTTATTAACATTTACATATTTATAATTTATATGGGAGTATGAATAGTTTTACTGCCTATTGTACGAATCTTAATACGCACGAACAATTACTTTTTGGCAATTGGTAAATTTTTACATGAATTGACTTACACGTTATTTACTTCCAAAAATTTTATTTATTCCGAGTAATTAAATAATGGACGCATGTTAATATTCAGCTACGTGTCTCAAATCAAGTGGAATACAGAAGTTTTATTTCCTTGAAAATTAGTGTCAAAGAATGCAGCAACTGGTTAGACTAGTTTCGTAAATAAATCGAAACCCTGTATCGGCATATTGTTTTTTAGGCTATCAAATATCACACGGAGTCTTTTAGGAAGTAGTCAAATCTTTTACACAAATTCAATGACATACTTTCAGGTACCCAGTTTAGGGCTATGAAATTAGACTGTTCAAGAAGAGGTAAAGAAGTTTCATATTTGCAATTATTTTGTGATACTGTAATAGAAATCGGTATCCTGTGAGAAAAATCGTATTTAACGATATGAAATGAATAATAAATAACGATCTTAGGGATTTATACTGGAGAGCTAAATCTTTAAAAGGAACATGTCGCTTAAACAAATTAGTTAAATATGATATTTATTTGGGGAATATCAACATCATAAATAAACGAGAGCGGTAGAGCGAGTTGCGGTATCGGTGCTCTCCGTCGGTGTCGACGCGTACCGAACGAGGCCCAAGATGGTCGGAGCGGGCGAAAGGGAGAGACCGAGAGCGATAGAGCGAGCCGCAGTATCGGTGCTCTCCGTCGGTGTCGACGCGTGCTGAGGAATTTCAGTGGTCTATGAAGGGAGGTGTGCGAGTGAGAGAGTACGGTAGAGCGTGCCGCGGTATCGGTGCTCTCCGTCGGTCCAACGCACTAGTGACGTTGCGTCACACAGTTTATTGACCTAGCCGTGTACGCCGTGTAC